GACCGGGGGTGTGCCTTAGCGAGTGACCTAGGCGTGACGGGCGCGCGAAGCGCGCCCAGAACGGCTAGTATGTTATAAGGATATCTGACCCAGCTCAGGCTTTCTAGGGGTACTCGTGAATTTTTTTATCTCTCACGCACATTTTTTTTTCTTTTTTTGTTTTTCCTTCAAAATCGTGTTCCTAGATGTTTTTGTAGAGCTATCTGTGAAGGACAAAAAATTTCGTGCATACCACGAGAAATGGCAAAGAGTTGAAACTCTCGTGGGGTCAACCTGACCCCACTCAGGCAGACTAGGGTTAATGAAAATGTACTCTAAATGAGGGCCTAAAAGGACAAGGCTTATAAGTTCAGTTTTTAAAAAAATTAAAATAATAACAATAATTGTTTGTAAAACTTGTCCTCATGCATATTCTGTGAAAAATTCGCTCCCAAATTCCAATTATTAAATATCAAAAAGTCAGTTTGAACCTCTCTCCGCCATATGGGTCCATGTAATTTCAAAACCTTAAACACGCATGTCTCAAAATAGCGAAAGCTGCACCTGAGCGCCTTGTCCCCCAAGTCCCTCAAATGACACAAATTCTACACCTCTAAATTTTGATCATTAAATCTGATCGTGCCTATGACATAATCTGATCGTTATCGTACTTACACTCAAAAACCGAGATTAGGGCTGAGACCTACCCGGATAGGTAAAATTGCTTCACCCCATTTACCACACGGCCAAGCCTGGCGCGGGGTAGGCGGGTCCCTATTCTGGAGGCAGAATCCAGCCCTACCTGCAATGTAAAGGCCCAGCCCTACCTACTTCAGGACCCAAATCTTCCTGAATCAGGGTCCAGCCCTTACCTGGTAAGGCTGAACCCTGAAGCAGGAAGATTTGGGTCCTGAAGTAGGTAGGGCTGGGCCTTTACATTGCGGGTAGAGCTGGGCCCTACCTGCGCCGGGCCTTCCCCCATGGGGTATGACTTAAAGCAATTGTAGTGAGGTAAAGCAATACACTAATGATTGAAGGCATAAGAGTGAGAGTGATGGCATGAAAATACCTATTCTCGTTTGGTAAATTGCTCTTATTTAGTGTGTGTCCTAAGTGAGCATGTCATTTTACGATGATACCACTATTCGATCACGTAGAAGCTCGTGTTGCCTACATTGATAATTGAAGGCAAATTGACTTGAAGTTCAAGTAACAATTTCCCGTTTGGTAAAGAGCTCTGTTTTGAATACATATATTCCCAATAAGCATGCCTTCTTACGGTGATACCACTATTCAACCACGTAGGAGCTCGTTTTGCCTACATTTAGAATTGAAGGCAGACTGACATACGTCGAAGGAACTGTTCGAATTTGGTAAAGCTATTTTTTTTTCAGTTTTTTCCGAGTGAGCCTGGCATTTTACAAAGATACCACTATTCGACCACGCGGGAGCTCCTATTGCCTACGAAATTAAAGGCGAACTGAAATGGTGTTGATGTAATCGTTTCTTGCATGTAACCAGCTATTTTTTGTACGTATCCCGATTAAGAGTGCAATTTGAAATTATACCACTTCCACTATTCCTATTTTTCCTCTTCTTTCCTCCTCCCTCTTTCTATTTCCATCTTGTTTCTCATTTCTGCTTTCTTTTATTTTCCTCTTTTTCTTTCTCTTTCATTTTTTCTATTCTTAATCATCATTATCCTTTCGATCTTTTTCCTCCCTCTTTTTTCTCTTATTTTTTTGCTTCCCTTTTACTCCATTTTTTCCTTCCCTTTTTCATCTCTTTCTTTTACTTTTCCTCTTCCTCTTTTCTTTTCTTTAAATTTTCCCTCTCTTATTTCGTTCTCCTCCTCCACCTCTTTCCTTTCTTCTTCATCTCCTTTCTCTTTTCTTCTTCATCTCCTTTCTCTTTTCTTCTTTTTCTCCTTTTTCTATCATTCCTTACTTGTCGGATGGGGAGGGTGAGTTTAGTGGAAAACAGCGTGAGAGGAGCACTTACGTTGGTGCCCGTTATTAGAAAATGAAAAATGTGCCAAAACCGAAATTCGAACTTAATCATCACATCATTGTTCCTCGCAAAAAGGCACATAACTCAATTCTGAGGTTGTATAAAGTTGATTCAAACAATTTAATTTTTTACGAGAATGTCCTGTCGCCATTTTGTTGGAAATTTGAGAGATTTTAAAACGAGATCAGAGGAAAATCAAGGAGATTTTCAAGAAATCGAATTGACTAGTTTTTTAAGGAAAATATAAGGTTTGACAGACAATCAGTAGTGCCGCCAAAGGAGATGCGTGGTTTCTCCAATTTAATTTTTTATTATTTACTTGAAACCAGTTGAGCAATTATTTATCGTTGAAATGTACTTATTTTTACTTCTGTCGATATCTACCGGTACATTTTTACTCATACCAGTCATGGTAGGCCGAGCAGTACTTAAGTACGTGTTACAATGAACTCGTGGTAATAACAACGATGAGATGTGCTGTGCTTTGTCCCAAACAATGCCGGCATTGTAAGCAC